ACATACACGGAGAGAATAGACAAATGGAAACATTTGCTTGTTTGAAAACACTTTTATTCTACGGTTTTTTGTAGAATTTACAAGCTCTCAAAATATATTTAGATGTGCATTTCTCTAGGAAGGGACTTTGTTAGATGTATCGATAGATAGGATACTATACCGATATAGTTAAAAGTGACCCAACTTTCCCTTATAGGCAAGACCTTATGTTCCTACGTCACATTTGAAAATGGGAATTAAGTTCCTAAGTCATTTAGGATTTTTGAAAATATTACCCATAGTTTAGACAGGGTTTTTGAGGGGACTGCATGTTTGGAACCGTACCCTCTGTAAAAAACAAAGATCATCAGACTGTGATTTCTGACTAGACTATTATATCTCTTAGTACAATGACATTTTTTGTGATCGGAACTTGGAGCAATCTGTGGTTCAAATCATACTTTTAAAAGCCATTTCCTTTTGGTTTGCCCTGTGTTTATACTAATCAGTCAATAGGGCTTTCATCTGTAAGGAACAGATTGAAATCCAATCAATTACTTCTAGAGATAGGAAATTATTTCACACCTTTGAGTCTTACTCTGTTCCAGATGCAGCATGTTACAGCTTGTGACAGTTAGAGCCAATTATAACCTGACCAACCTGCCTTGGCATTAAAAAGCCTGGTAGAACTTGCTCTATGTTTGCAAGATCAACACTTTGCTTCTGTGCACATGCCTGGTTTGGGAAGTTTAGTTTTGTGATCTGAATGTAGTGATCAGTCCAAAGCAATGATCAAAGTGGGGATTGACCAAATCTACCTTTATAAAAGGATTCCACTGCCTATTTTAAGTACATTATAGTATTAGTTATAAATACGTGTATTCCATTCCATTATAAATACATAATGACATTTTGTAAGAAATATATTTCCTGCTGGCATAAAAAAGAGTTGAAAGGATATTTAAACTTGGGTAAAACCAGCTGTACTACAAAGTCTCTACAATAATTCTGCTTTCTATGGGGAAGGGAGTGATGATAGTTTTTACTTTATATTTATGTGGTTGATGTAGACTCCCATTACCACATCTAGTCGAAGGGTTTTCTCACACTTCTTAATTCTGGTGCAGCCATTTGCATAAGACCTTTAACAATTGATTGTTATCTTTTAATATAGAAAATAATTGTGATGACATGTTGCCAGGAGAGCAGCCCACAGAGAAACATAACTCTGATCTCAAGGCTCTAGACATTTTTTGTTCACTTGGCTGATGTTAGTTTTTGTCTGAGTCCCGCTAAGAATCATTTAAATTTAAATAATTTAATCCTGTCCCAGTTTTCTGGGAGTAAGTGAAACTAAGGATACATTTTAGTTTATTAAGTCCTACTTTATTTGGAATTATGTGGTAAACACATTAAAGTGAAATATTATCTTCTTCCAAATTATGATGGCCTAATGTGTGATCTAGTGTCTAAGAGCACAGAACTGACTACCAGGAGGACTGGCTTTGATTCTGGTCTGTGCCGCTAATTTGCTGTGTGACCCTAGCAAACTTCTTCCTCACCTGTAAAATGGGGCTGATAATTCTTGCCCTCATTTATAAAGTGTTTTGAGATCTTTGTGTTCATGGTTCTATATAAGTCTGAAGTAATATTAAGTATTAGGTCCTGAGACTGCCATTTTACCCTGGGTTCTCCCTACATATTGCCACTTATGCAGCCCTGTCTTCATATAGGAGGCCAACCCTCTCTGAAATGACCTTATGATCTCTTCAAGTGGCATTAGCCTAAACAATTCATTTCTCTTCTGCCTCTGAACTTCATTAGCCAAGGGAGTGGTAAGCCCGACTGTGCTCCAGAATGCAGCTCTCCTGTGTAATACCTGGGCACTTGTGCCATGACAAATAGACCAGTCTTGTACTATGTTCATGTTCTAATGACACACTTCAAATAAAGAAGTAAATTGATGAATATTTGGCACTCATCAGTGAATATTTTAAGTTGTGTTGGTTTGTTCCTCACATATCCATGTACTGAGTTTCTGCAGTATTATTTTTACTTAGTTTTATTATAGTAGTTCTTACAGCCCCATTCAGGGTCATGGCCTGGCTTTGTGTACACTAGGGAAATACATTGTTTGGAAACAGGTGAGCTAACACAGTTTTAAGTGAGGCTGACCATGACCAGCTAATGCATTTATTAAAAGTGGCTAAACTTTGTCTCTGTTAGGTGCAAAGCTGTATTTAAAATCATGTTAGCTCACCCATTTTCAAATGCAACCTGTTTACTTCTCTGGACAAGGCCAAAGTCAGAACTTTCTCCAGGGGTGGTATGAGACTGTGGAATGAACTTCCCCAAGACCTAAGAACCATCACAACAACCTCATCACTTTCCGCTCCAAGCGTAAGGTGCATTTCTTTGACCTTGCCTTCTCTAATATAAACACATAGCAACAGATATATTTATTATAATAATAAAAACCTTACCAAAATAAGACGCTCCACTGCAGGTGCTTCTCCCTTATGGGAGAGATGAGAGAACAAACAACACAGGACAGATGTGCAGTCACGCTGCTAATGCACCACTTGAAGAGTCTTAGATACTATGGTGATGAGCCTCTCATAAAAACCTATATAGAACAGATTAGAGCAAAGGTGGTGCCCTGAAGAGCTTTTAATATGACTGTAAAAAAAGAGCTACAAAAGGAAGGATAAAGATGTTCCACTGGACTATCCAAAGAACTTTTGCTGTGCCAAATAATTTATCTTCTGCGTTGATTCACCCTCTGTCTCTCATCTCATTTTTATTATTGTCAGGTTGTTTACATCAGAAATGCAGTCATGAGGCTGAAGCTGTTAACAATAGTACTGATGCTGGAGGAATTAATCCCACGTCATTACCCCGTTGCTAGTTTTCTAATGTTTCTCCTCTTTGGTTGTCCTTTATTTATTGCCTCTCACGTTTAGGCCTTGGCAGGCAGAAATGATAATATAGTTGGTATGGTAATTAATTATATCAAAACTAGTTTTGTGAGCTATAAATATTTTTACTGTGATTCTTGTCATGGTGATTGCAAGAATTTAGTATTGCAAATAGGCTATCTCAGTAGAAGAACAATGCATCTTTTTATTTTAATACCTCAGCATAGCATTAAATATTTTACACTTTCATATCTTTTGTACAATTTAACTTAGATGATGCGCTGAATGCAGACATGGCCCCAGTCCTAGCCACACTGCATTTTGACTACCGCAGGAGAATAGCAGCAGTGTACTCTTAGGGCATTCTTGTCAACAGGAATCAGTTGTGACATTAAAGAATGCTTTATCCCCTTTTAATGAAAATGTTTAAGTGTGGGAAGCTAAGTATTTTTTAACAACGTATTTCCTAGAAAGAGAGATTTGCATTGTCGCTACTTTTTGTCTCTGTTTGTGCCGGTGATCAGGTGATGATCTCCCATCATTTCCTATCGCTATTACTGTGGAAATTAGTGCGGGAGTCGCTCCCCTGATGAGTTTGAGGCTGTACTCAGCTCTGACATGTCTGCATTTTTGTTGAAATTGTAGGCCCGTTGACGTCAATGGCAAAACTCCCCTTGACTTCAATAGGGCCAGGATTTCACCCTTTGTCTCTTGTCTCTAGCCACCGCCCTGCTCTGATTCTACTTCCCTTTACGTGACCCTCTTGTATTCACTCACAAGCATCTCCTTTCCGTTTTCCCTTGCTTCCCCCTATTCCTGAAATGCTCACCTTGATCCTATATGCCATGTGACCTTCTTTATTCAAAACCTACTTCTTTGCACAGTCTCTCCAGCAGTGGCCCACATTCCCATACTAACCTTGCAAAGTAAAAATTAATTAAAGAAATGTTCTAAGATGTGCCCTTGTGAAAACAGGCAGTCTTGTAACCTTTTTTGCGTGAACCACCCCTCCCTTTCATGATACCATCTTTCTGTTTCAACGTTACTTTGTTTCTAACGTAGGTTGTAAGATTCTTACACCAGCAACCTTGTCTTTAGTCTTTCTGTAAAGTGTCATGCACTCCTAGAGCATTATAATCAAGTTTTACTCTATAATAATCAGATTATCTAGTCCAGGGGTCGGCAGCCTTTCAGAAGTGGTGTGCCGAGTCTTCATTTATTCACTCTAATTTAAGGTTTCGCGTGCCAGTCATACATTTTAACATTTTTAGAAGGTCTCTTTCTATAAGTCTATAATATATAACTAAACTATTGTTGTATGTAAAGTAAATAAGGCTTTTAAAATGTTTAAGAAGCTTCATTTAAAATTAAATTAAAATGCAGAGCCCCCCCGACTGGTGGCCAGGACCCGGGCAGTGTGAGTGCCACTGAAAATCAGCTCGCGTGCCGCCTTCGGCACCCGTGCCATAGGTTGCCTACCCCGATCTAGTCCATCCCCCCCTGCCTCTGCAAGATTGTTGCCTACTGTATATTTATTAGAACCACATCCTGTCTACTACTTCAACTACTAAAGAAGGTAGCAGTAAATGCTAGCCGCTAAGAATATTGTGTGGGTCTCATTTATTTATCTTGACTAAAACCAGCACTCATTCTATAAACATTTGAAAAAAGAAATACCAAATTTTCAAATATTTGTAAAACCTCTAATGTAGACTCCTAGAGAGTGGTATTGTCCCTCAGCTTGAAGATTAAAATCAGTGCTGCCCACAGCTGATTAACTTCCCTTTCTAATGTTTCCCCCTAACTGAGAATCTCAATTTCTGTAGCGAGCTTAGTTTCTGTAAAGCCGCAGAGAGTATTTCTATACAGTGAGCTATAGAGCAGTTGTGGCTGTGTCCTGCACTGAAGCTCAGTTTGTAATGGCCGTCTATTTCAACCTGTTTGATAGGCAGCGATGTGCAATGAAAACTGTCCTAATGCTGTGCTGAAGCAAGCTTTTTGAAAGGCAAAGTGAATTGTCTATTTTGTATTTTCTTATATTTAGCCAATAACATTTTACTGTTTTGCATCAACTCGTCTGTGTCTGTCTTTTTTGTCTGACAGAGTCATCAGCAAAGTGGTGTCAGCCCCAGAGGCTAAACCATCTACTCCTGTGAATCGGCCCAAAACACCACCACCCGTGCCATCCCCACTACCAGCTCCTGTCCACGTGACCCCTCCTCCTGCTCCAGCTCCTCCTCCTCCACAAGCTACCATCTCGCCTGCTCTAATTCCACCACCTTCTCCTGCGGTCTCTGCAGCAGGAGGCTCCAAAGCGCCGGTCAGAAGTGTGGTGACGGAGACTGTCAGTACCTACGTGGTATGTGATATACTTCAATGTGTGCCTTAATGCTATTGAGATCAATCTTTTGAGAATTCTTCTTCATGACGACTTTTCATTTTCAAAGTAAAGGTGCCGTGCTAATACAGTGTGATGTATTAGTCACATGTATACAACCCCTTCTCTTTATGCACCTATTTTCAGGGGTTGATAACTTATTCAAAAAATTGTCTGTACAGAAATTTCTTATGCTTATTCTCAGCCAAAGGTTGTCTCTCTTCTGGAACGTCTACTACAGTTCCATCTGGATATTTTCTAGTTGTCTGAGCGTGAATATTTTTCTCGTTGAGATCTTTCAGATTCTTTTTTAATGCTTGCCATAGTTCTAGCCTTCAATGAGGAAAAGAGCCCCTCACATAGCAGAAGTTAGAATTAGCACTTAGCAGTAATCTTCAATTTGTGCAGTACACTATTATTTACTAATTTTTTTTATTGGTGTACCAAGGTTGCAGATACTTGTGCAACTCTGAAGCTCTGCACACTTCCTGCATATAGCTTGTAGCCAATCCACCATGTGCTGTGAGCTTGCTATATCTCAGGTGGGGTTAAAACTTGGATATTCCTTAGAGTGTTCCCATTACAATCAGAAAAATTTGAATAATTGGCAACTGCTTAAGAACATTTTACTAGATGCTCAAAAGCCACTATCAAGAAAGAATGTTAAAAAAACTAACCTGGCTTAGGGGGTAGTGAAATCAGATATTAAAAATATATATATAACAAATGGAAGAAATGAGAAGTTGATAGTAATGACTATAAATCAGAAGCTAGGAATTGTAGAAAATGTATAAGGGAAGCAAAAGGACTCAAGGAAAAAACTATGGCCAGCATTGTTAAAGACATTAAGGAGTTGCCCAAGTATACTAGGAACAAAAGAAATCCTAACAACAGTAATAGTCCATTAATAGATGGAAATGGCAGAATTGTAAATAATAATGCAGAAATGTTCAATAAATATTTCTGTTTGGGAAAAGCCAGATAGTGTAGTCATATCAGATGATCAAATACTTTCCATTCCAACAGTAACTAAGGAGGATGTTAAACAGAGCTACTAAAGTTAAATATTTTGAAATCAGCAGGTCCAGATAATTTGTATTCAAGAATTTTAAAGATCTGGCCAAGGAGCTCTCTAGACTGTTAATGTTGATTTTCATTAAGTCTTGGAACACTGGGGAAATTCCAGAAGACTGTAAGAAAGCTAATGTTGCATCAATATTAAACGGGATAACCCGGGATGTTATGGGCCTGTCAGCCTGACATTGATCATAAGCAAAATAATGGAACAGCTGATACGTGACTCAGTTTAATAAAGAAGTAAAAGAGGATAATATGATTAATGCCAGTCAACATACGCTTGTGGGAAATAGATCTTGTCAAACTAATGTGATATCTTTTTTGATGAGATTACAGACTTGGTTGAAAAAGGTAATAGTTCTGATGTAACATACATAGACTTCTGCACGGCTTTTGACTTGGTACTGCATGACATTTTGATTAAGAAACTAAAACAGTGCAAAATGACATACATTAATTGGATAGGTCTCAACATGTAATTGTAAACAGAGAATCGTTAAGTGGGCATGTTTCTAGTGGGATCCCGCGGGGATCAGTTCTTGGCTATACACTATTGCAGCGGTTTTCAACCTGTGGGTCGCAACCCAGGAATGTAAGGCACTGGGTCGCGGTGGCTCTGGTCAGCACCGCCGGCCTGGCCATTAAAAGTCCCATCGGTGGTGCTGCCCAAGGCAGGCTAGTCCCTACGTGTTCTGACAACGCACTGTGCCCCAGAAGCGGCCAGCAGCAGGTCCGGCTCCTAGGTGGGGGGGCCCACGGGGCTCCGTGCACTGCTCCCACCCTAAGCAGCTGCTCCACTCTCGACCAATGGGAGCTGGGGGTGGGGAGGCCAGTGCCTGCGGGTGAGAGCCACGCAGAGCCGCTTGTGCACCTCCGCCTAGGAGACAGACCTGTTGCTGGCCGCTTCCGAGGCTCAGCGCAGTCCGCGGTGCCAGGACAGTCAGGAAGCCTGCCTTAGCACCCCCGCTGCGCCACTGACCGGGAGCCGCCCGAGGTAACCCCGCACCCCAATCCCCTGCCCCAGCCCTGAGCCCCCCCAAATCCAGAGCCCATTCCTGCATCCCAAACCCCTCATCCCCACCCCAGAGCCTGCACCCCCAGCCCAAAACCCTGACCCCCTCCCGCACTCCTATCCCAGCCCTAAGCCCCCTCAAATCCGGAGCCGCCTCCTTATTCCAAACCCCTCATCCCTGGCCCCACCCCAGAGCCTGCACCCCTAGCCCTGAGCACCCTCCCACATCCTGAACCCCTCATTCCTGGCCCCACCCCACAGCGCTCTGCCCCAGCCCTGAGACCCTTCCATACCCCAAACCCCTCATCCCCAGCTCCACTAGGTCGCAGGCATCAACAATTTTCTTCAACTGTGTCACCAGAAAAAAAAGTTTGAAAACCACTGCACTACTAATCACTTTTATCAATGACCTGGAAGAAAACACAAAATCATTACTAATAAAACTTGCAGATGAGACAGATCGGGAGAGTTGTAAATAATGAAGAGGACAGGTTACTGATACTGCGTGATCTAGATCACATGGTAAGCTGGACACAAGCAAGCAATACGTGTTTTAATACAACCAAATGTAAAGTCATATATCTAGGAACAAAGAATGTTGGTCGCACTTACATGATGGAGGACTCTATTCTGGGAAGTGCTGACTCTGAAGTCATGGTGAATAATCAACTGAACATAAGCACCCAGTGCAATACTGTGACTAAAAGAGCTAAAGTGATCCTTGGATGTATAAATGGGAATATCAGGTAGGAGTAGGGAGATTATATTACCTCTGTATTAGGCTACTGGAATATTGTGTCCAGTTCTGGTGTCCACAGGTCAAGAAAGATGTTGATAATTGGAAAGGGTTCAGAGAAGAGCCACGAGAATGATTGAAGGATTAGACAACATACTTTATAGTGCAAGACTCAAGGGGATTAATCTTTTTAATTTAACAAAGAGGAGATTGATCACAATGTAGAAGTACCTACATGGATATAATAGAGGGCTCTTCAATGTAGCAGACAAAAATATAACAAGATCCAGTGGATAGAGGTTGACAGTAGACACATTCAGACTAGAAATAAGGTACAAATTATTAACAGTGAGAGTATTTAACCATTAGAATAACTTATCAAAGGTTGTGGTGATTTCTCCATCACTGTCCATTTTTAAATCAAGATTGGGTGTTTTCCTAAAAGGTGTGTCCTAGTTCAACCAGAAATTAATTCAGAGAAATCTTATGGCCTGTATTATACAGGAGGTCAAACTAGGTGATCGCAGTGGTGATTCATATAAGAAAACAGTGAACTTCCCAGATTAAACACCTACAAAGAATTAGTGCCTATCTTGGAAGGGCAGTGCTACTTTTGCTAGGAATTTTATTGCCAAGACTGGTCAACCAGGTTATAATTGGTTGTAATCTGCATTCCCGTAGGCTGTAGCATGGTTTGTTTGCAGCCGAGTGATGGTGTGTGATTCTTTCTTAGCTTTGATTCCTTCAGAGAAAATATTTTGTGTGACCCTAACATCCAAAAGTCCCAACAGTCAGTTTACATGAGGAGCAAACATTTTTGCACCAACACAAAATGACTTTGCAGAGTAAGATTTGATACATAGAACTGAATGATCATTACAATCCAAGATCATTCAAACCAAACTCCAGCTCCCTGTCAGTGTAGAATAGCGCCCTGCATCATATTTTCCTGTGCTTTCTGCCATCTAGTTTTGAATGACAAAAAACTACAGGGCTTTCCTAGAAGCTAAGAGATGTCAGTCATGAATTATAAACTGAATGCAGCCCTTGTTCATTTTCACTGATTTCCTTGGATGGTGATTTGAGATTTACAGACCAAAATGGTGCTTAGTTTTTCTTTTTAATACCCTTTGTTGTTTTTAACCTACTTACTTTTAATGTCATCCTTATAAACCTCTTGCAGGTAACAAGAAAAGTTATTCTCTGTACTATACAGGATATATGACCATGTGTTCTAGCAAATATTGAAAGGAAAATACATGAAGTCCTGTTCTAAATACTCTTAAATCACAGAAGGGATTAAATCAGTGTAGATCCTCTGACAGTTGCATATGAACTTATTATTATTAAATTGCATTTTATTAAATTGGTTTTGTGAATGTTTAGATTTTACCAAACAATACAAAAGACCTATTTAATGAAACAATCTTGAAATTTAAAAATTGTAATGTGGTTTAAACTGGAAATAATACCCCCAAAAATCCATCATAAGGCATTGAATGAGATGAATTTAGTAAACAATTGCTTAATATTGTAAATGATCTGCCTTTCTCATTGCATTTACCCTTTAGTAAATTGTACTGTGACATCAATGTCATAAAAGGAATGGAAAGTTACTCAGTAACAACTTTTTTATATCCTTGATCTTATCAGCTAGTTGAGTTTGGCTAATAAGTAATAAGGCAATATATGCACGTTGCACTGTATTTATTACATACGTGTAAGACTATTATCTTATGCAAGGGGCTACCATGGTTCCATCCATAAGCAGTGTAAAATTAAAAAAGAAATCAGTCTTCAGATCACTGGGAGGGTATCAACAGCTAAGAATCTGTACTGTTAAGCCATGATGATTGCTATAAGTGAATGACTATTCTCTTGGGTCAAGTGGTTTAACTGGCTTTACTGGTTTACAGAGCAGTGTAAAACTGTGTTTGTTTTTACCATCTGAATCCAGTATAGCAAAATCAATTAGAATGGTATTGCCAAGCACTTGTGGGTAGAGTATTCTTAGATGTACTTTCCAGGAGTAGAGTGAACATTAGATAGCTTTGACTGATAAACAGGAAATGTCACTTTAAGAAAATCAGTTATGTTTGCTGACTTGACATTAAAAAGAATCAACTTTTTTCTCCCTTTTTATACCAGATCCGAGATGAATGGGGTAACCAGATCTGGATCTGTCCTGGCTGCAACAAAGCTGACGATGGCAGTCCAATGATAGGCTGTGATGACTGTGATGATTGGTATCACTGGTAAGTTGTTGTAACCTCTTCTTTTGTGCTATTCTTTCACACCTTGCCGCTGTCCTAGAAACCACCTGGTTATTCACAAAAAGCTAGAATTGTATTTGGCAGTTCCTTTTCATTTCAACTAGTAATTTGGAAGATTTTACTTTTATCTTTGTTACTTTGGAAGTTTGCAAAAGTAAATTTTAAGTTGTAAGGGTGCCCAAGTTTCTTTTTTATTTGTTTCCATTAGAACTCATAGGAAAATGTTCTGCTAAAACCAGTACTAATAGTTTTGAAACTGTTATAATATCAGATACAGGTACGTACTCTAAGAACAACAGGACAGTAAACACCATGAACATAGCTATAAAGTTTCAAGTTATGGGCTTATTATATGAAAAAAGCACATTTTGAAACACATTCTCTTTTTTAAAAAAAAAAAAGTGAATCACTTTATAGGTATTTTTGTGAGACAGCTAAACAAAATCAAAAGGCTTTTCCACAAATGATTTAAACGATGATGTGGCATCTTTTAAAATCTGGCCTGTTACACCCAAAAGCAGTAGACGTCTCTTATTATCTTAACCAAAAAAAAAAAGTTTCTTATCTAAGTGGCATTCTAAGAAATTCATTGCTTCAAAACAAGAAGGTTTACATTTCCAACCTATGGGATTTGGGGCTAAAAAATTTAGTCAGATTCTGTTTCCTATCTGAAAAGTTCATCCAGTATGGATAAGAAAGAAAAGTAACATGTTGCTTTACTGAGACCTTGTGGGTTTTTTGTCAAATTTATAGGCTTTGTGTTGGAATTACGGCTGCACCCCCAGAAGAAATGCAATGGTTCTGTTCTAAGTGTGCCAGCAAAAAGAAAGATAAAAAACATAAGAAGCGGAAGCACAGAGCACACTGAAGTCTTCGCGGTGAACTTAAGTCATACAGTCACTTCAGCACTTCTGCCCTGACTCCTTGGTAGACGGATTTATTGTGCTTCTTCCTCATCATCCGTCATCAGGATTTATGGATTGACTCCTGAATGAATCAGGAACAAAATACACTGTCCGTTCTGGACTGTTGTTTTTTCCAAACTGTGCGTGAGCCCCAGTGGTTTAGATTTTAGTATGTTCTGTCACTGGCTTTCACTTACTGAAGGAAACTCTCACAGAGTGATACCGAGGGTTAAATAGTTAACGATACAGCTCCCACTCTTGCAGATCAGCAGCAGCAATGACAAATGTTGTAAATAAAGATATCTCCTCTGTCCTTTTTGATTTGTTTTTATTCTCTCCTGAGCCTTTGCATTAAGGTGTTAAAAGAGAGGAGAAATATGTAAATTGCAGTAACTGTAATCTAAGGAGACCTACTGGAATGATTTCTGTAGTCAGAATACAGTTTTCAAAGCTCTATCCCTGCATAGCCAGATAATCATAACATGAAGATAAAAAAAAGTGGCTGGTAAATATTTTTGTGATAAGAATATATGAAGCTTTTTTCCTTGATTTTTAGTACTAACATAAAATAAACATGTTCAAGCTTTTGTGAAATATCTTCTATTTTTTAAAAGAAAGTTTCTATTGTGTCAGTTGTTTTTTTCTTCCATGTGAATTGTTTTCGGTAGACCTGTAATATATTTTATACTTTTTGTTTTTAGTCATTGTCAGTGTACCTTTTCATTGCTTGTATATTTCATCAGCGTGTAAAAACACTTCTCATTAAAAGACGTTCTCTCGTGTAAATACCTGATATTTATAAAATTCTTTTTTTTTTTTAAGGTTTATGGGTTTGGGGTTTTTTGAGTGTCTAATCCTAGCAGGTATGAAAATTCTGTATGATTTATGGCCATTACTGTGGCTTTAAAGGATTGTGATAGACCCACCCCAAAAGGAGCTTTCCAGGCGGCCCACTAATGAAACCAACCAACCAACCTTCTGCTTAAGGCCCTGATTCAGGAAGGTACTTACGGACATGCGTAACTCTAAGAGGGGAATAATCCCAGTGCATGGAATTGGGACTGTTCTTATGCATAGTGAGACAGGTACTGAAGTGTCTTTCTGAATCGGGACCTAAGGCAATGGGATCTAGCAGTTTTAACGGTAGCAATTGAGTTTTAATTTGTAGCTGGAGCTGATCCTTTTATTTGCAAGTGTTTCTGTGTTTGTCAAAATGATTGCGCTCGCATTTAGAAAAAGGAAGTGTCGTTCGTATTCCAGAAAGACTAGAAAGCATACTATGCCATTTTGTGTTTGTTGTGATGTTTTCTTTTAGTGTATCTTTTAATCAGTATTACCTTGCAAAGACAAATAAAGTATGCTATGGAAATGTATGTTTTATTCTCCATTTTAAACAAAGGAATAATTCTAGAATGCCACAAAACGGTGACAGTATGAGATATTTTAGTACAGTGTGTCTGAGAGTAAATCAAGTATATAGCATTACATTTTAAATTATAAATTACTCTGAAACCTGTCATTTTAAATATCATGCCTTATGTTTCAAAAGCTATAGGGTAAATCCAGCCATCGTCATTTAATTTCCGGGTGCTTCTACTCTGGACTGTACAGTGATAAGCATCTTGAGTTTTAGAATGCAAACATTTAACCTGTTGCACAGATATTACCAATTACTTTTTTAAAATGCCATCTCAATTGATATTAATGAGAATGAATTAGTCATGTTTTTTAAAACATCTTGTCTAGGTAAAGAAATTAGGTTTTCCTGATATGACTGTTAAATTGCAAATCAGTGGAGATATGGATGAAATTGGTTTATTAAAAGTGCACTGTTACCTTCTGTGTTCCATGCCACCTCATTTATATTCTATTCCTAATTACCAGTCAACACATTAGCCAAGACTGTTCTTGGTTTTAATTTCTAACTTTGGATCATTCGATGTTTTAAAACTTATTCTTGTTTTTCCTGTATCATAGACACACACAAAATATACTGTCTTTGGTCCTCTTTGCTTTGGTTGCACAATAAAGAACTTAGCTTTTGGTAACTTGTTTATCAATTTCCCCCTGTGTTCGGTGAATCAGAACTTCCCACATTTAAATGATTAAATTATGCAACTGAGATACAAATGGAAAAGTCTCACATTTGCCACTTCTCTTGCATTTCAGGAATTTGTGGGTTTGTCCATTGCTATTTCAGGGTTGTTTTCCTAAACTCGGGTCATTTTTTTTTAATAAGTTATCTTTGCAGTAATATCGCCAAAGAATCATTATCAGGAGGCTTGAATGGCTCATGGGATTAGGAAGGGGAGATGAAGCCTTTCACCAGGTCACAAGGTTGAATCCAGCCTTGGACAGTAGAAATGAGCAGTCCGATTCTCCTTTCACTTGCGCTGGAATAGATCAGAAGTCAAGGGCATTAGTACTGGTTGTAAGAGAAGAATCAGGATCCAAAAGTGGCTACCATCTGACTGCTGTTGAGTGGCCATTTTAAAATTACCTACATTAGCATTTTGTAGTCCACACCTGAGTGGATTATTTTAATTCCTTCCATGTAAGAGATTGACAATAGCAAAGTCTCAAATAGACCTCATGGAATTTCTGGCTATTACCCCTTTTCAGGGTATAGAAACTCTGATGGTGTGAGGTCAGTTATTTTTTTTTAGTTGGGTGTTTGATCTGTATGTTTGTTTGGGAGTCTTTTCTGCTGTGTTTTGTGGTTTGATTTTTTTTTTCTTGTGGTTTTGGGGCTTTCAATTTTATTACTTTTGATGGAGAGGTGTCCATGTGGTGAATGTCATGCCTGTTAACGTTGGGAAGGCTTTATCAAAAGGAAAGTTTGCTGGTCTTTGTCTTTAGAGGACAAGTTTCTGTCTTGTCAATTACACTGTTCAGAGTACAGTAATAAACCTAGCCAAAGGCTTGGAAAGTAAAGACCTATGAGGAAAGACTTTTCAGTGTATAGAGAAGACAGAGAGAACTCTACATATATGTAAAAAACAAGACGGGGTATTCTTTTTTCCATTAATCAGTAAATCAGAACAAGTAATAGATTTAAGCCACTGCAGCGAATACTAAGAGTAAAATTAAGGAAAACTTTATAAAAGTTGTAGTAGGAAAAAAACCTATTGAATCTCACTGTCGGTACTGGGCCAGGAGCTAATATGATGTAAATCTGCAGCGCCTATTCCATTTTACAGCAGCTGAGAACCTGCCCTTTTGTGCTTTAAAGACCCACTTTTTGGCTCTCTAACTGAATGAAGTCACACAGAAATATTTAAGGTGTGTAGTGTGTTCATCAGTAATGTAAGATGTGCCTGAAAGCTAGTGGAGAATCCTGAAAAACTAGCTCCCAGGATGTTTGTAATTAACTACACTCATTAACTGTATAATCACATTTTGCACCCAGAAAAATCTGTGACCTAGTAGCAAGATCTTATGGAAAAGCCTGTATGAAGAAAATGTCTTGCCTAGCAATTTTATTGAAGGGGATTTATGGAGATGTTCTTTTACCCAGATAATCTAACTTCAGAAGTGTATGTAGCACGCAAAGCATAATTTCTATGGTTGACAAGGTGTTTCTCTTCTGAAGGTGTCTGCAGTTAAGTAGAGTGAGGATCTTTATGCTCCTCAGCTGATATGTGATTCCAAATGTCCTGGAAGGAGAAAAAAAATTGAGGGTATCAGAGCTTGTGACTTTGTCCTGGGCTTTCCAGAGATAAAATATACAGCATTACTTCACTGTATCACCTAAACCTTCTTTGTTCTCCTTTCAATAGGACGATTAAACAAAGACCTACTAACCAAATTAAAGTATAAAATGAACACTGATATATGGAAACCTTGCCAGAAAGAATGTTAATGAATGAAGTTCTCTAAAGGCATGCTGGCTAAGTTTTCAATACTAATAGTTTTATGGCCAATCTCTTTAGTTCATAGCAGTTTTCTTTAGAAGTTTGTCTCAAAGTAGCTGAGTTTCCTTGACTGTAGAATGAATTAGATAATGTTCTGAATAAAGTCTCTCTTCACAATTGTGTCAGTCATTCTATTTAGGAAACTCTCTTTCTTCTTTTGGAATCTTGGATCAGCTGTAACCTAAAAAGTATAAAGCATCTATTAATCCATGTGTGGAGTACAGCAGAGGATGCTGTAATGGGAGATTTAAGACAGCCAAACGGCTTGTACCTGATTGATGTAAGCTGAGGCATTTCATTTAAATATGAAATTTTTCAACTGGCTATTTGGCTCTTTCACTTGGGACAAGCCAAGATGCAGCTGTGATTCTTCATAGAACTGTCCCTGGGATGCAGTCTTTGGGCCAGATCCGCAGTTGGTATAAAGTGACATAGATCCATTGGAGTCCATGGAGCTATATTTGTTTACACCTGTTGAGGACTGGGCTTTTTGTACATGAAGGTGATTACTTTTACAATTACTTTAAATCCCGCAGGATTCATTTTGCTTTTCCTGGAACATTGATTTTTAAGCCTGGAAATATGAAGTTCTATGTTCCTGGAAACGTATGTAAAATATTATTTCATTTTTGTCAGTGGCTAATGAATAAACACTCATGGCTGACGCATAAACACAAGACTACAGTGGGCACAGAGATATTGTGGATTTGTACCTGCGTTTGTACCTTATACAAATAATGATTGTGTTGTTAGCAATGAAGCATTGCTCGAGATTTCATAGAATGTCAAAATGTTGCCCACCGTACAGGCTTTGTAAAACAAAGCTATTGGGGAAATGTAAGCAGAAAATGTTCCATGATCCTTTTAAAAATTCAAATGGAAAGTTGTTACTAATGAGTAGATATTTCCCTGCTCTGTTGTCAATTGAAGCATTTTTCAGTGTTGTGCTATTATGTGGAAACCTGAAAGCAAAATCAGCAGAAACTGACTAAAAAAAAATTAAATTTACAAGCCTATTGTATTGCCTAAACTGGGGGGAGGCTACAAAAAATAACCAGTCTGACTAGTGAAAATTGAATTTGATTTTTAAACTTCAGTTTTAATAATATAAAATGTGAGGGGATTTGTTTTATAAAATAAAAACCGTTGCCTGGCAATGTCCCTTTAAAATGTAGTTTTGACAACATATCATATCACGAGCTGTTAAGCCTCAGTCATTGGTTACTGTTCTTGTTGTGAGATGTGTGAGGGCAGGTTGTTGGAGCACTGTACTGTTGTAACCCAGTGCTGGTAGTGGGTTGTGTGCAAGAGGTCTTGGGGTAGGTCTACACTTACCTCTGGGTCCAGCGGTAAGCAATCGATCTTCTGGGATCGATTTATCGCGTCTTGTCTAGACGCGAAAAATCGATCCCGGAAGTGCTCGCCGTCGATGCCAGTACTCCAGCTCGGCGAGAGGAGTACGCGGCATCGACAGGGGAGCCTGCCTGCCGCGTCTGGACCCACGGTAAGTTCGAACTAAGGTACTTCGAATTCAGCTACGTTATTAACGTAACTGAATTTGCGTACCTTAGTTCGAAATGGGGGGTTAGTGTGGACCAGGCCTCGGATACACAACTGTTAACTGCAGTGGCTCTGCTAATAAGAAAACTCAACTGATTCCTGTGAGCGGGTGTTTAGCCAGGGTCATCCTTCCACATGTTCAGGGCCAATCAATATTTGTTTTATTAAACTTCTAGATTTTTCAGTTGAATGTTCTGCATTATCTGTGGGAGCCAAATAATGCAGCAGCACCGCCATAATATTTCCTGATACGAGAGCTGGAAAGAAAATAGGAGTGGGAAGGGGATTGCACAAAATTATTTCCATTTTTAATCCACATTTATTTTTCAGTCATTTACTGACAAGCTCTATATTAATACGAAACGTGGTGACTGCTGGTAAATGTTCTCTTTTAGTAATGACTACAGAGGAGGAAGGATAGCACTCAGCAAATCCGACTTCATCCTTGCCTCTGTTACTGGTGACCGTGGCACTTAATCTCTCTGCTCCCCAGTTTCCCCATCTATAGAATGGGGATGTCCTGGAGCCCACAAGGCTAGGGTGCCTCCTGGCGGGTCTGCGGATTAGCTCCTTCCAGAGGTGCTGCACCATCCTCTGGCAGTCTCTCCACCCATCTTTGCAACTTCAGGAGCTCCTTAGCAACTTGGCCCTCCGGCCAGGTCGCTGTGCATCCTCCTCTTCTGGAGTAACAAAGCCTTTGGGGCAAACTATCCCAGGCAGTCTGCTCTCCTCTGCCTGGTCTGTGTCACTTCCTCCATGACTGGTAGGGGAACCTGGGCATGCCTCTACCTGGGGTTGCAGCCCAGGGACCCTCTCAGCAGCAGACAAGATCTGGATACTCTATATCTTGCTGCCTTTCCCATGAGCCTTTCCGGCTCTCTCCTTTCTCTGGGTTTGCCAGCCCAAACTCCCTCTTCCCAGGCAGTAACTGTAAACTAACCTCTGTAGTCCCCAAAACACCTCCGTTTTCCCGGGGAGTGACTGCAGACTCCTTCCCTGCAGCTCCTAGCTGCTCTCAGCTTCTGGGTTTTGTACAGTTCCCTCCTGTTCCCATCCAGCTGAGCCTCATCTAATTAATCCCTGCTCCTTGGCTCTTCCTCCAGGTGCAGCCTGGACAGATAATTGGCCTGCCTGGCCACCTTAACCCCTTCAGGCCTTGTGTGGGGTGGACACCCCGGGACAGAGCATAACACTTCCTTTTCCCCACTCTGTGTTTTGTCTATTAAGATTGTAAACACCTCAGGGTTGGGAACTGGCTCTTACCATGTGTTTGTACAGTGCCTAACGCCTGATCTCAAATTTGCGATGGATGCCCAAAGCCTCCTGTGGGTACAATATTCGGTTAGATATGCCCAGGCCTC